TTACACAAATTGTTGTAGGTCAACCACAACCCCACATGGATTTTCAGTTTCCAGAATACAGCATCATTTATTGTTATAGACCCCCCAAAAAAAACTCTTGGCAAGCACAATATCCATAACAGCTCCCTTGTTATAGGCACTATTATTGTCTGTCCCAATGCTCTTTCCTTCCTGTATATGTCATTCAGCGCATTTTCCAGTACACACGAGTATATTCAATCAGAAACAGCTTCCCTAAATGCAACATGGCATTTATAGGCCATCTTGTGCTATAAATATATAGAGAAAAGGAAATAAAAGGATCATAATTCATGTGTTTAAGCGGAGAGTTCACCAACTTCACCCTAAAATGAAAATTAAGTCTCATTTACTCACCTTGGTGTTGCTCTAATGCTCTCGCAATTCTGACTTTATTTCTCATAATTTTCGAGATATAAAGTCAGAATTGTGTGTTATAAAGTCAGAATTGCGAGAAATAAATTCACAATTGCATGTTATAAAGTCAGAAATGCATGATATAAAGTCGAAATTGCATGTTGTAAAGTCAGAATTGTGAGATATAAACTATTCTGAGGGGTCCTTTTTTCCCCTTAGAATTGGCCTGATAACTCGCAATTGCTAGTTTATATTCTGAGAAAAGAGAAAAGTTTAAATTCTGAGAAAAGATGTCGGAATTTCGAGATATAAACTCACCATTGTCAGAAAGTCAGAATGTGAGATAAAAAGCCGCAATTCTGTTTTTTTTTCTCACAATTGCGACTTTATTTCTCAGAATTGTGACTTTATATCTCGCAATTACGACTATTTCTCAGAATTGTGACTTTATTTCTCGCAATTGCGACTTTATTTCTCGCAATTCTGACTTCATATCTCGCAATTGTGAGATAAAAAGTCGCATTTATTTATTTATTTTTTTAATTCAGTGGTGGAAACAAGCTTCCATAGCCAGCTGATGTTATTGTTGTTCAGAAAGAATGTTGATGAGCGCTGCGTTTTATCCAAAGTTGAACATTTTTCAACTCTCGGCGACCAGTAAAAAACGCTGGGCGGTTGGCGCTTTAGCGTGAAAAAAAAAAACGCTTAACGCTCCCATTGAAAACAATTTAAAACATACGCCAGGCATGTGGAAAAACGCTTTGGTGGACACGCCCTAATTCATCGGTTGTGTACACTCTTCACAATTCAAGCAATTCACAATGGATAAAATCAAGTCTCGTCCTACATTTTTTCTTGCGTCACACTGAAACATTAAAGTATGGAAGTAAAATGGGTTGCAAACAGTATTTCGACTTTAAAGGCGTCAAATAGATTTTTTCCTTGGTTGTATTAAAAGTGTCATATATTCTCAAAAATAATTATTTTCAACACTCAATCTGGCCCAAATGATCAGTTTTAGGGGATGTGTGCTTTAAGGCTCGTCAGTAAACGGCAACTGTTCTGATTGGCGAATGCATTGAATATAGCATGAGAAAAAGTATTCAAGCCTCTGCTATTGCATGTAAGGGTTTTTAAAACATTATTAATATAAATCCATCATTTAGAGAGAAAGGATTATGGAATTGTTTTGTCGAGCAATCACACTAAAGAGATTTAAAGTGCCCCTATTATTCTATTTAAGGTCTTCTACAATATACAGTTTGCATGCATCCTAGGTCAATAAACACTTTAATTTTCTCATAATATACAGTGCAGCATTACTGCTTTTCTCAGTGTCTGTAAACGATTTAATCTTTCTAAACCCCTCTTACTGTACTCTGATCTTATTGACCCAATCTTTTGTGATTGGTTGTGACTGCACGGCAGGGGTGTCCAAAGTCGGTCCTGGAGTCCCACTGTCCTGCAGATTTTAAAGTAGCTCCAACTACACACCAGCCTGTAAGTTTCTATGCCTAAAGACCTGGTTCAAGTGTGTTTAATTGGGGTTGGAGTTAAACTTTGCAGGACAGTGGCCCTCAACAGGAATCAGGATTGGACATTGCGTGCGTGCCTGTCGGAAACTAGGTGCCTATTACCATATCTGAATTTCAGGATTAGAAGCTTCCACAGCACTTTTACACGCAGTGAGATGAACAGTTACGATGCCGCATCAATTTGAGTGAGAGTCCTCATCCTTCGGAAGGGCATGCAAAGTGAATTTACTTTCGCGTCACAGTAAACAGCATCTTTTTGAGGATTCAACAACACAAAACAAACTTCTCCAGGCCTCGGATAAAACGAGTCAAAGTAGACATTGTTCACAGGTAGTCGCTTCTATTCTGCCGTTTCTTAATTTTCAACATTCCTGTCCTCAAAAGCCATTTAAAGCGTTTTATCTTTCCTCTTATATTTGAATCATATCATGGCTTTCGTATTTCACTCTAAGCTCCCATGTCATTTTTTTTGACATCCAGTGGCAAGCACAAACCCACACGGTTCTGTTTTCTTTTCCTTCCCCCTGCTGTCAATGCGCTGTCACACACGATAAGCACAAGAAGCGAGACACCCGCACACATCACGCTGCCGAAGCTCTGAAAAAATAGAAAAAACTAATACAACCTCCTAAACCTGCCCTGCTCCCATCTCACCTGGAGATTATCACTTAGAATATGCTTAGAGTGACGGCCTCGTAGCAGACGGGGGGAAAAAAAAAAGTGTTACAGCTCTAGTTTACTGAAGCGTGACATCATTTGCTTCAAAAGTGTTTTTAATCTAACATTTCAAAGCAGGCGAAACTGAAACCGAGAGGCATACAAATGATACAGAGATTAACATCTCAGTCCACTGACAGAGAACAATCACAGTTTATCACAGATAAGGGCTCTGAAAAAGTATCTTGAAGTCATACTTACTACCTGCAAACAAATTGTGCTAGACCTTTTCTGAGCCGTTTTAACCAGTTTGTGTCAAGATGATCATCAATGCATGCATCAACAGCTCAAAGAACTTGAATCAAGTCAGCAAAATAAAGGTAAAGATCTTACTTTTGGACTGAAAACTAAAAAAAAAAAAGAAAGAATGCTATCTAAAGCTATGGGTGGCCACTAGTAATACAGAATAAATTGTGCATTTTTGAGATACCTGAGTGGCCTTACTGTACTAAAATACACATGCAACCTCAGAGCTATTTTTAAAAGCTGTCAGAGGAGGGATGTGTAACAATCCAGAAAGGGAAATAATTAGGCAGTGTTCCTTAACATGTCAAAATATTTATTACAAAAAACAGACAATTTCATAGTGGAGTGTCTGAAAATATCCATTCAGATTTAATTCAATAACAATGAGCTTTTTAAAATTGTGTTGGCTAAACTCCAAGACTTGTCTACAGTGCATACTCAGTTCATTACATTGAGGGGAAACAGAATGTACTGAAGAATTCTATATGTCATAACTCACATACTATGACTTGTAGTAAATCTACTATAAGTACTATATACAATACAGACTATTAAAAATGCAGAACATGCTGTTCGAACAAGTCCATCCAGACCAACCAGTTAAGAACTAGAGCAATACAAATGCCTGTAACAGAACTCAAACAGTAGGAATATGCTTTAATATAAAGAGCATTTATATTATAGTATGCTATAGAATATAAAGCAATATACTGTAAACAAACATTGTTGGTTTAACTTAAAAAAAAAGTAACCTGGTTGCCTTAAAATTTTAAGTTCATTGAAATGGAAAAAAAATTGAGCTAATACAATGAAGGAGATTAATTTAATCACCAGAAACTCAAAATATTATGTTATCTGAATTTCATAAATTATCTAAGTTGATTTGACAAAAGAAAAAATGTTGTGATTGTAAATCATGAATATATATATATATATATTTTTTTTACAGTGTAGAAAAGTCAATATATTACATCAACATGTTGGCCTACTTTAAACTACAGATAAGTAATGTAAAACTACAGTAATTAGAATGCAGTATGTACTATATACTTTAGAGACATCACATATTAGAATAAGTATGTACTTCTTCTAAATAAAGCCACGCTGATTTCAGAAGTCAAGAAGCATACTACAGAGCAGGGATCTTGGAGAGCGACCATCCTGCAGACTATCCATATAATAATCAATCTGCAACACTACAGCATTGTGAACTTTAGTAAAGATATGTTTGGTCGTTAACTTTTTGAATTATTATGCAATACAACAACATTAGGGGAATTCTCCGCATGAAAGACCCACGACTGGCATATCAATGTGCTACTACATATCTCTCTGAAATGGTAGGACATTAAATTAAATTGAATGCGGAGGATTTTTACAGTGACAAGATGATTGACAGGGCAGTTTAAACGGTGACAGGATGCATGTGACTAAGCCACAGAGCTTATAACGAAGCACTAAAAATGATGTAGGCTAGTTTTTCTTCACAAAAACAGTACATTCTTTCAGGGCATAGGCAAATTAGGATGCAGCGACACAGATACTGACTATAAAAGCCCAAATTATATACTATAACAGTACATACTACAGCAGACAAATGAGAAGCCATATAGTACAAAGTGTGGACTACTCATATAAAGCAGAATGCAAGTATTAGAGGTCAAGAAGTATATACTGAGCACAATTTAATAGGCTATAGGGAGCAGTAAGATCAGTAAGTCTAATGTTATTTTAGAAAAGTTCAGCAGAAGCCTATTAACACTACAGAGAAATCATACAATATACTTTACAGACAACAGACCATAGAGTCACACTACACAAGAGCAGAATAGACTACTAAGTAGTGTATTATTATAAAGCACAATGTACTATATTGACTAAAAGTCATATTATATATAGAGCACAATGCTATAGACTAGAAGTCCCAGCAGTAGACTATTTTTATGGCACTACAGACATTTTCCATAGCAAAATGTATTGTAGACTATATTAAAAAAATGCAGACTATACCACTGATCAGAAACTAAAATACAGACTCTTAGAGAAATACACTCTATAGAGAAGTCGTACAGACTGTAGTGAAGCAGACAATAGAGAAGTCATGCAGTGCTGCACAGGGACTCCCACCTGCACTGGAATTCCAGCCAAACTTCTCACCCACGCTCAAAGTTTCCGTGAGCTGATTGCTCTCACCATGGAGCCCTCACAATAACAACATGTCAAAACTTCCTCCTGACGCCACAACAACATCCCCTCATTCTCGACGACACGAGACACGACGGTCGCCGGTGATGTCTTCTTGTCTTCTCCACATCACGCACGGTGTCACACATTTAAATCCATCTCAGGCGGAGCATATCGAGAAGTGATACAGTTTCACGTCGGTTTAACTAAAGGTTATGTGGGACCATCCAACGCGGTAGACGCTTATGTCCACGCGCTGTACAGCGCCACCCGTCGGTTCCGAGTAAAACTGCAGCGCCTCCTCTCCTTCCTACTCTCCAATGTTCACAGCTCGGCCGGAGCCCGTCGTCTTCCCGGCTCCATTTCAACTGGATTTTTAACACTCCTTACCACCCCAGATCAGGACAGGACCGCGTCTAAGGTAAAGGAGAACCTCTAAGGGTGTCGTAGAGTCCACATTAGGTGGGGTAACATCGTCCTTTCTTAGTGTTTTCAGCTCTGAAGAGAGGGGAGCTCGAAACTGACTTCACGCATCAGTTGGTACACCATGCTGATACTGGAGTGCCTCCTACCATAACAAACCTCTTACAAAGGATTTTAAAAGATCCAATCTGGATCTTTTCGCCCCGGCGTGCGTTAAACGACTCGATTTTTTCTCGCAATCCGCTCGCGATATCGCCTTGTTCTCCTAAAGTGAAGGGGGTGGACATGCTGCGAATAGGTGCAATTATTGCTTTCCTTTGCAGCTCTTGAAATCTCCTTCTTCTTCTCAGCGATAGATTCTGCTGGAACAGAACCGTGTGTTTTTCTCGTTTAGTCTCACAAGCTCAGCCACTTGCACCTATTCAGCAGATGGAAAGCGAAAAAAACTCGAGGCTGTTTTTGCAGAGGAGGGTTTTGTGAACGTGTGATGGTCGCTCTGCAGCTTGTAACATTAAGCGCAAAACTGATACAATGTTATCGCGGATCCATGTGAAACGTCATAATGGTTGCAACAATGTTGCCGCTGCGCTATTTACAAATACTATCAGCTCAGTCGCTAATGGATTAAGTTGGTGTGTATGTGGCTTAACGTGTGAAAACGTTGACGTTTTGTCCTTCAGAATGACAACAGTTTGATGTAATTGGATCGGCTATAGGTTTGCTTGTGTTGTCAGAGTCCAAATATTGGAGTCCTTTTGATTGTTGCTGTTATTGCAAGCAGTTTTAGCGTTCATTCCCTAAACGAATACCTATTTTTTTAACGTTTATTACTAGTAGTATCAAGTTACTATAGTGTTTATTCATTACTATTCATTCCAATAGTGACAAGTGACTCTTTTTCTGTGTTGCATGTTTATTCAATTAATTCTATGATAATCTGTGATTCAGATATCAGCTATTCACTTCCAGCTGTTGCTGATACCTTTTCAAGTTTTACTTTTACCTGTTCAGATACTGGTCAGTGATTATTATGTTTTTGTTTCTTATAATTATTCAAATATTTGCTTATCTATTTTAGTTTCCCTGATAGGCCTAATTTTTAAAATTCTTGTGTGTATTCTAGTTGTTACTGACATCATAATAGTAATTTTTCAATTGAACTTTAGCCATTCTGACTTGTGCACACTTACGACTTTTAACAAGGAAAGTGTTACTTGTAGAAATTGGTATGGAAACCAGTATTTTTAAATAACAAAGTACTAGTAAAAATACAGAAATACATGTTTAAAAAGCTTACAACTGATTGTCTGTAGAAATATTCTTCAAGAAGTTCCTGTGATTCGTCACTTGAGTGTTTGCTTATTTTCCTGGCAAGCTCATCAAATATGACTTGCTTCTGTTTGTATTTAGAAACTTAAGGGTTAGGGTTCCAGGCAACGTTGAGTTACTGAGCAAATGTTCTTAAACCCCAGAAGAACTTTGGGCTATTCTGTGATCGCATTCATTGTTGTCCTTTACAAAGGTGGAAAATGTCCAGTGAAAGACAACGGTCAGATGATGAAAGTCCCAGCACCAGCAGCGGTAGTTCCGATGCGGATCAGAGAGATCCTCCGGTGCCAGAACCAGAGGAACAAGAGGAGCGAAAACAACCCACGCCTCCACAACAGCAGAAGAAATCCACCAAACTGTCCAGCAAAACAACAGCCAAATTATCCTCCAGTGCGAAGAGGTAAAGATGCCATTCACTCTCTAGCTGTTTTGAGGATTAAATGTCATTTTGTAAAGCCAGGCATGTATTCTGCCAACACCCCCTTTTCATCATCACTTTTTGTGAATAATTGTTTCAAGTTATTTTTGCAATGTGCCAATTAACGGTTTTGGCGTTTGTGTGCCGTACTTGAGAACAAAAGCACTAAGCTTAGACGATGACTTAACTGCCTGAGCAAAGAAACCGTATGATGTGTCATCAGCTTATATTTAATTTCAATGAAGCGCACTAATCAGAAGTTCTCCCGAGACTCCAGAAACTCCTACATAAAGTCATTGTGAGGAGCAAGAGAAGTGAGTCAAATCGCTCTGCCTCATGGCCTCTGTTTTAACCGAGATGCTTTTTTTTTTTTTGCAAATACACCCATATATTTCATAGCGAGGGGGATTTGGCGCTGTTAACCAATCAATCCATATCAGCGCTCATTAAAACGCCATAGACTTTCTCAATGTGGGAGAAATGAAAGATCAAACAGTTATTCTTCGAAAATGTCAAAAATCCTGCCCTGGCTCCCTCACAGGCTGTTGATAATGCTTTAGTAACAGCACCCGAGCTGTGCATTAAAGCTCTTGTCAAATATGCCGAAGCACACCCCCCTCCCTCCTTCTACCTCATTTGCATATAAGCTTTAAAAGAAAATCTTTTGTGCTTAAAGTGACTTAAACGCTCAGACGAGGGGTGGGGCGGGAACTAAGGGCCGAGGGCTTTGAGCCGAGGTGAAAATCAACGGCGTGCGGTGGAGAGAAAGGCAGAAACGAGCACGGCAAAGTTTTCCTGTTATGGGATTCGGGTTATGCCTCCGAGAACAAAGAGGAAGCAGCCATGTTAGCTGTGCTGAAGGGAGAGCCAGCCGTGCAGTAAACGCGGCAGAGGTAGAGGGCAGTGTAATTCCCCGGCTGCTTGCAATTCTCACAGCTTTCTCACCATCTCTCCCTTTCTCTTTTCTCTCCCTCGTAGAATCCAGAAAGAGCTCGCAGAAATCACTCTGGATCCTCCACCCAACTGCAGGTATGTTATTTAATGCACGCTGTCATTTGATTTCTTTACGGGCTGGTTTGAAAAAGAATCGCTGTAGGAAAGTATTGACTTTCAGTACTGACTGTTGGAGTTTTTTGACTGCTTTTAAACTGATGGATTCGCTCAGGACGGATGTGGCATTTTGCTCCTCGGCTTCAAAGGGTTAGAGGGGATTGAGTTTTTTTCTTCTTTTTTTCTCAAAGCATTATTGTTACTGATGTTCCTGTGGTCTTGGTGCTGTTGTGTTTGTAATAATATGGCAGATGCTGCTCCGAAGCATATGGCTTTGATTTCACATCCTCATGCTGAACTTACTGCTGAACCCCCATCTGTTTTAATGAGCTGACCTAGAGATGCCAGAACAAGACGAGGGAGCTTTTAAAATCTGCTCTGTTGCTCTCGTTTTTTCCTCCCGCTTCTTTTCTTTGAAGGATGGCAAATTTCTGATTTGATCGTTTCTTGGCGTTTTAAAGTGCTTTCATTCATTGGGCTTTTATTGGAAGAGTCTCCTCTGGTTGGTTATAATTTTAAAAGTCCATAATGGATATGTGTTTTGGCTTTCTATAATATTGATTTATGGCTCTCAAACAAGATTTTATAGATGTTGTGTCATGACGATTGGCTTGGTTTGATAGTATGAGATTGCATTTATTGAGATCATATTTCCGTAATAGACTGATATACTGATCATTTTGAGATTATCAGTATTGGTTGTAAACTGCACGTTTGGACGTTATACATTTTTTTGCAGTGTGATGGCACAGAACTTGGCTTTTATATGCATGTCTACATCTCAATTGCTTAACATTTAAACCCTACTGTTCAAAGGATTGGGGTTAGTAAAAAATATACTTTTATTCAGCAAGGATGTAATGGACAGAAGTCTTTTGTAACATTATAAATGTCTTCATGGTTTCATACAAATGCTGTTCTTTTACACTTTCTATTTATCAATGCATCTTGAAAAATCAAGAAATGTTCCCTGAGCATGATTCATGAAGGAACATGTGTAGGGTTGGGTATCGTTTGAATTTGAACGATTCTGATTCCGATTGCGATTCCTTGTTTCGATTCCGGTTCCTAACGATTCTGGATTCCGATTCTTTTAAGAGGCAGGGTCAAAAAAGTTTAGCTAACCTTGCTAACCAACGGCCTTTCTGAAGGAAATACTCCTGTAAAAATACTCCTTTTGTCACAAATTTTGCATTTTGCCGAGATTTCCTTATTTTTAGAAAAGTGAAGCCACACTTTGGATCGCCGACGTAAGGTATCATGTTCGACTCGCGTGGTTATGCCAACACTTCCGGTAGACGCTTCTTCGTTGGTGTTGTTCAGCGGTTTCTTCTTCCACTCGGCGGACTGTGAATATCGAAACTAGGAATCGGAATTTTAACTTTTGAACGATTCCGGGAAAAACGAAAAACTTAGTCTCGGTTCCAATCGATACTCGATTCTCGATACCCAACCCTAATCATGTGACACTGTAGACTGGAGAAATGATGCTGAAAATTCAGTTTTAACATCACAGGAATACATTTTATTTCATATTGCCTAATTATATTATTGCCATATTAAGCCTTGGTGAGCATAATAGACTTTCTTTAAAAACAGTAAACACATCTTACCGACCCCACACTATTTTGAAGGCCACAATTTTTGGTCCTGACAAATCCCCATTGGTTGACAAGTTTTATGTTTGTTGTAAGTGAAGCTGTTCATAGAGTTAATAAGTAGAGTTTGGGTAGAAGAATCTTAACCATCCAAAAAACCTTATACCTGCTGTGCAACAAATGCATTTGGCCTTGTTGCTTTTTGTTAATTTAGCAGTCAAGGAGAGCACTAGAGTGTCTCAGTTACCC